ACTCTCAAAACCAAACCTATAGGAAATGTATTCAGTAAGTAGGGAGATTTCAAGTCAAGAAGTTGAAAGTTAAAGAATTTCATAGTTACTGACCCGGGAATGTGACATGGAGTATGTTATTAGGGTGCTATTTAGTAAAAATGTTAACGTAGAGGTTCCAGTCTTCGCAATTGTTTTTTTAGAGGGTGCATTTAAACCAGGATGCTACACTAAGGACCAACACACATAACCTACATTTTTTTCTGAAGGAATACCGTGGGAATCGTGGAATAAATCGCGCGAGATCAAAGGAAATTTTCAGCTTCGGTGGGATGTGAACTTTCTGACCTTATTTGGTTTCATTTCCCTTGCAAGGCAAACGTCCCGCGCCCTTGTGATCAGCGCTCACGTATTCTATTCCAATTTTAAAGAGCCGCGTGCCAAAGACTCATTTTAAAACGTCATTTATAGAAGGATTGTTCGATCTGTTGTCAAATTCTTCAAAAGCGAATGCATTGTAATCAATATATCGCGATGATTCCTCAAATACTTTATGATGAAAAAAAAAAAAAAAGAAAGAAAAAGAAGTGATAAACGCGAAATCAAAGTAGCAATTGAGTTTTGTTCTAATTATTTTTAGCATCCAATTGCCTTCCGATTAACTTTATCGCGTAGATCAAAGGCAATTAGTGAAAATTACAAAACATCTAATGATTAACACTGGAATAATGGATGTCTGCGACGAACGAAGTCGGTTACGATGGATACGTTTCTGTAGGAACGACGAATGCTCGACAGAAATGATATAAATCTGAAAAATTTAGCCAAGAGAGTGTTAATTAGCAGACCCTGTTAGTTGTAAGTCCTTCAAGGTTTACCACGTACTTATATTAACCGCAAGGTCATCGTTAACTTGTCGGCCGAAATATTTCCGGACTGTGCCTGAGTCTTCCTTCCCAATAGACAATGCCTGTTGACTTTAAATAAAGGTTGTTTGTGTAATGTCTAGAAAAAAAGAGGAAAACCACGATGCTGTATTCATTTCCACCGCTCTTCAATTCTTTAATGAACGGCTAGAGTAGTAGGTCTTGAACAATCTAGAATGATACACAAAAAACAACCGTACAAGTAGACCATAAAAGAAACGAAAAAAAAAAAAATGGAAAAACAAAACAAACAGAACAAAAAAACAAAACAAAACAAAACAAAAGTTTATATGATTGTTTAGTTTATTTAAGCGAGAGGGGACGGAATATTCAAAGTTTCCAGGCGTTTCTGAATCAACTTTCATCAGATGAATAATCAATTCAAGTTGGTTGCTAGCAATTTTCCGGTCTAACTTTCCGTTTTGCGTGAGGGTTGAGTATGAAAAACTAGTATCACATGTTCACAGAAGTTATTTTAAATTTTCTCACGGTTTGTTTTAGCTTCCATACGCCATCATCTTTCCAAATAAGGGCTACATTGCTGTGCTCATTCGACATTTCATTGAGGAGGTCTAACGTCAACACTATTTGGGGCCTGGAGGATATTTTGAATTTCGTGGTTTTAGCAGAGCGTGATTTTGTTTTTCAAGTAAAAAGTTTTATATATAGTTTTTAGCTAGAACTATATATATATATATACCTATATAACTGCTCAAACGTGGGGTATATCGTGTGCGAGTGAAAATGAAACTACGTAAAATGCCTACTTTAAAGCACGTTCCGCGCGAACTGAATGGAGGCATTACCTCTGCAAATTTTTGTTCCACGAAGAAAAACTTGGCAATCTTTTTATTGAGGAATTCTGAAGCTTACAACTTATTGAAGAAGGACCTTGGCAAGAAAAAATTATCAAATCATTATATTTATATCGACTTTTGCTCCTCACGTGTGTTGCAACACGGAATATTTTGTGTAAAACTATGGATTGTGAAATACTAAGTTAGTGCCCTCCGGCCTTGAAGCCCTTTCATCCATTATAAGCAAATAAAATTTGTCAAGGAGAAAATTGCCAAATAAATTTGTCAGTGATGGTCGTCAAGGAAAACCCGCTCGTCTGGAAACGGCTTTCAGAAGGCTTAAAGCTCCGCTTCAACTGCATTGTCATTATCTCCAGAAAACCAAAGGAAATAAAGAATAAAACCAAATAGGAAACACTGCTCCGAAAAGCCTTTGAAAAAAAAACGTATTCCTTTGTTACTTTTCCTGTAAAACTCACGTCAACATTTAAGAGTTATTCAGTGAGCAGACATTTAATTGAACTGCTCCCTCACTGCATCTCTCTGCTTGGGAATGACGACATCCAGGTGTCAGGGAAATCTGAAAAAGTTTTAATATTCCAAGTTGCTCCGTGCATTAGAAACCGGGAGAAGCTCAACCGATAAAGGCGGTTACCTACTGTTACACTTTCTAACATAAGAACCTTTATTCGAAACGTAAACTTTGCAGGAATTAGAGAATATATTTGACGTTTATGAAAGTCCTAAAGCTTTTTTGACTTTACTCGTTAGCGGATCCCTCAAGCAGAGTATGTGCATGCGTTGGAGCTGAGTACTTCAAGCCGAGAGGTTTGCCTCACCATCTTTCGCTCACTCACAGCCCTCCGCCTTGTCTCCAATTTGATTTTCATTCGCTCGAGTTTGACAGCCGGGATTAGAACATATGGTAGCAAAGAGCAAAAATCACTTAATAACCATTCTTTTTTACATAGCTTTATCCAATATTCGACTCCGTTTGGTCGATATATTCCTCTGAATTTGATGAAGATCGAGATAGAGCGAAAGTTCCATACTTGCAGAGAGTGAATAACGTGCGAGCTCTTCGTGTTACAAGTTGCATTTAGATGAGCCCTTCTTAGACGCAAGAAATTTCTCAAAGACTTAATAAATACAGCAACGAGTCCCCATAAGGATCAAAACACAGTGTCAAGCCTTAACCCCATGTCTCCTGCGTTATTTTCACTTGTTTCCCGGCTTTCAAAACCTGTTGTGGCAGAAAACCACAGTGGGCTATTTTTAATTTTTTCTTCTCACTCAACTGATTCGGCGTTTGTCACGGTACTTTTGTTCGTGTCTATAAGAATAAGTTACCGTCGACGAGTTGCTATTATCAACATAACCACTTGCTTGAAACGACTTTGTCACTGAATGTTTGAAAATGCGGTATTTAAAAAGGCCAGTAAAGTCTTTGAAGTCGTAGGGTCGGATCAATGAATTGAGTGATAAATAGATTGATTTTCACACATTTGATGTGGAGGTTCGCGGCTTTTAAACACTCGCCACATCAGATGCGAGTTTGCAGGCTAAAATATATGATATCACACAAGAAGAATACAAACAGAGACCAAGAACGAAAACAAATTCAGTGAAGACGATGGTGCATTCTTATTCCTAGTCACAACTGTTGTTGTTAGTTTTTTCGGCTCGATCATCTGCATGGTTAATAAGCGCTAGCGCTCGATGTTTTTTGAAAACAGAGCGCTACGCATGCAGAAACTGCTTCAAAGATCTCAGTGAAGGAAGCCAAAGTTCAAACTACTTGAATTTCAAAAGGGTTTTCAAAACCGTCGACTGTGTAAAAATTATGCAAACGTTGGGTCAACTTTCCGAAAATACTTCTCGTTCAAACAGTCTGGCGATGACGTCTAATTACGTCCCAAGAGTAACAACCGGAAGACGCAAAGAACTCAGTTTTAAAGGTGTCCGCCTTAATTAAATTTGAGTTCTTTCACGTAATAAACTGTGGCTTGGCCAGAGATTTGCGAAAAGAACACATAATGAATTCTGTACGGTTAATGATTGAGGTGTCCGCCGACAACGACCCAATCTTTTCTCTTGCTGTGATTTAATCATTTCACTCCTTGCCACGCACCTCCGGCCTTTTATGATTTCATTTCCTAATGCCCTCAAACAGGAGTTCATTTTGCGTCATGTCTAACTGTTAAAGCGAAACAGAAGTATGCAATTTCGTAGCTAGACTGCTGCAAAATTGCAAACCTTCGTCTTAAAGTAAACTCTACATGAGTTTGGAATAACAATTTTGTCGTCAGTATACCTAATAGTAGTCATGTTGTTTCGGTCGAGAAAAGCGGTTTCAGTTGTCTACGCGACTTCTCACCGCTGCTGTCGAGACAAAGATGACAATGCGTTTGTTCTGAAGGAATCGTTTTTGTAAGCTCGCACTGGATACATATCCAGTGAGGGTCAAAAGCACGAGACGTGAATTAATATTCTTTAAAGTTTATTGCATTTTTAACCTCCTGAGTTTGCCTATTCTGAACGCCGCCGCTTAATGATCGTAACAACGATCATTAGTAAAAATGTGACACCCTTTTACAATTCAATGAAGAAAACTAATTGCACAAAGAAGTCCGCGCTCTTGAGGAAATAATTCACAAAAGATAATAGAATTGAACGGCGGCGAACAAAATAGACCTGTATTTAAGACAGAAAATATTTCACTTGCAACGGTTCTTTCTCAATTGCGCGTGCCGAATATTGTTGGCGTGTAACGGGTAGTTTACGCGAAGTCAAACAAATTTGAATGTAAACTTTAGATACAAATTATCAGTGTTGACATTAAACAACCGTAAGTGCTTTAAATATACAAACAAACTGATCAACGCTCTCTATTGTTCGGAGGTAGCTTTAGTATAATGGCTTTCAAATAAAAAGATCTCATTCAGTATCAATTACAAACGTTCCTTAACCTACTTAAGATCGTTTTATCGAGACGGTTCGTCCACACGAGCAATAGAGTCCTTCAAAAGATGGCTATCGACGAAAATTTCGACCTGTCGATTTTCTACACTATATCTTCGTGCGCAGTTTAGAGAGGGTTGTTCTTGCATGAATAATAGCACTTAAGGACTTGTTGTTTACTTCAAGAGAGCCGCCCTCAATTGGACTCCAGTTCTATTCTCTTAGCCAATCAGCAGTCCTTTAGCACGTACTGTCTTAACCCCTATTGTCAAGTAATTTTAATACCCCAAACTCACATTCCAATGGACTGATAAATGAAATATATAGTTCCTTCAACACGGGCGACAGTTTTAATCGCTTGAACCAGCGAAGCAGTCAGTTTTGTTGATTATAACGCACGTCAGCGGTGCGTTCTTTAGTTACTCACTATGCCGAAGCTAAATGTTTGGTTTTTCACTCTAGTCCTGTTTACATTTCCGCTACTTTCAACATCTCACTGGTGGTAAGTTCAGCTTAAAAACTTCAACACTAAAAAAGATTATACGAGATCTTTTTACTTATTCTCGATTAGCGCTGTGTCGACAATTATTCGCCTCATGAACGAGAAACAGTTGCGCTAAGCGATATTTTATTTGTCCTTAATTCTCGCCAGGTTTATGTCCCAAGTGTATGCTCTGGGAGCCAAAATCATGTGTAATAACATCGCCGGTTTGGTAACGTACCAACGACAACTGTGCAGAGAAAACCCTGATGTTATGATCAGCATTGGAAAAGGGGCTAAACTTGGAGTCGTAGAATGTCAGCAACAGTTTAAAGACCAGAGATGGAATTGTTCAACTGTGGCGCGGGACGTTAGCGTTTTTGGGAAAGTGACTAGAAGAGGTAAAAAAAAAAGTCTTCCATGATAAAAGTCGTATACTTGATCTTTAAGTGAGCATTTTACGGGTTTAAGATAATTCCGGAAATTTTTTGTTGATCATTAATTCCAGAGTAATTCGATGACAATTAATGATTGAAAAAGTCAAACGGGATCTTCAAATGAATAAGACGGAGTGGTACTTAGACGCAACACCATTTCAAGAGCTCCTCAAAATTCTAACAGTATATCAGACAATCTGTAATCTTACCGCTCAGGGTGATAACCCTTCTTCATTTTATTGCCGCATCAGTGCCGATTCACTGGATAAGTGCCTGATTTGTATTGCTATTATTTTTTACAGCGAGTCGGGAAAGCGCATTTGTGTACGCCGTTTCATCAGCCGGTGTTGTACACGAAGTAACACGCGCGTGTAGTCGAGGTGAACTGAGCGACTGTACCTGTGATACGAATCGCAAAGGGAGGAGTCGGAAGGGCTTCGAGTGGGGAGGATGCAGTGAAAATGTCGCTTACGGTCTGAGGTTTGCCAAGCTGTTTGTGGATTCCCGAGAACAAGAACGAGATGCCCGTGCAAAGATGAATCTTCACAATAACTTTGTCGGACGACGGGTGAGTAAGTCTGCAAATTTCTCAGTTTTTATATCAACGAATTGCCTGACCAATAGCCGTTTTTATGGCCTAAAAACAATGTCCCAAATTTAATAGACTGTTATATATATTTTCGTAAAAAATGTACTTGGGTGATAAACTTTCCACTATTTTCGAGAGTTCTGTTTGTTTGTGTTCTGGCCGTTTCCTTCATTCTATATGAATTCTTCAAATTCATTTATTTCCCAAGTGTGTTATGACGAACAATACGCTAAGATGAGAATTTGCTTTCAGACGTAATCTCGTGATAATCGTGGGTGTTTACGGTAAAAAGTACGACGATGTTAAATTTTCCGTATATTTCGACATTGACGCAATCGAAAATTGTTTTAATTTTTATTTGAGTCATACTTTGTTTTTGGAAACTCAGTCAGAACTACTCAGCACTTTTCGCAGTTGCGTTCAGCCATTACCTTAATTATCCAACTTTGCTTTACCGCAGAGTATCCTTGAAGTGTGCTTGTTTGTACACAAACAGTCAAAACAGAAAATATATACCAGCTTATCTCAATTCTTTCGATCGCAGGTCTATTTTTATAACCGACGCGACGTTGTCACTTCCTGAAACAGTGCGTTTCCTATTTACGGACGCATGTTTAGTTCTGCTTGAGAGAGCAATGTAACCCTTTTTGGAAAACTAACTTTCTAAGCGCTGGAAGCGAACTTCAAAAGTTCAACTAAAAGCAAGTGGAGTACTTTGAAAACGTGATCGGAAGGGATGCTCACAGCACGAAAACTTTCTAAGTTTGATGGCCGAAATTTTCGCCTGTGATATCGTCGCTGCAACGCTAAAGTTTGCAAAGTGTCATACACAATCTTCGAGCACTAATAACTTTTCATATATAGCTACACTGTGTACTTAAGCAGTTTGTATTATTTTAATAAGACAATAAGTTACACTACGAAAGTATATTCTTGAAACTGCCCCTTATCTTTTTCTTATCTAGAGACTAAAAAATCTTCGTCGAGGCTCGTTCATTTTAGCGAGATATTGTGGAACGTTCCAAGTCAAATTTTCAAGTACCTCTGTCAAATCCAAATGCAAAAATTTTGAGCCAAAAAATTCCTTGTGGTCTAGATAATCAAAACAGGCGAATATCGTGGGAAAAAAGTCACGAATGCACATATTTCTTTTAAGGGAAATCACGAAATATCCCTGAGAGCAATCTGGGCGAGGAAAGGTCACAGGGTCACGGATTGAAATGTAGGAAACTCGAAAGGAAACTTCTTTGCAAGTGCGCTCGCGAAATGTCTCTTAGATATATCTCAATCGATTAAATACGTCGATTACTTTGGATATAGATACTTTCCTGGTGCAGAGTGAAACTTGCACATAGCATGTAGTTGCGGTTAAGGTTCTCAAACTGTCTTTTTTTGTTTTGTTTTGTTGTCGCTTCCTGTGTTCTCGAGTAGAAATCTTTGAGTGGAATAAACCGCAAACGATTTCCTTAATAATACAGATATTGATACTATTTGTATCCAAATACCCTCACGTTTTCTAGAGGCGGTCAATGGACTCTCTGTATATTGCATTTGTTTATTTTTGTGTTTGACCAGAAGATTCGCACGGAACATTTTTCTAATATCGCCGACTTCCCGGATTTCTTACATTTTCGGGAATTTTTAGAAAAACAACGGACTATGTAATGTATATATACGTGCAGAAGGCGAGAAAAAATTATTTTTCATTAGGCCAGAAGGCCACTTCAGCGTCTCATTCAAATTTAGGAGCATAAGTGAATGTTTACCATAATAACTTATTCCTTCATAACATCAAGGAGGGTCCACGTGTTATATAGCAATCCTCACCCCTTCCCCCGCCATTATCAAGTTTTCTTAAGATTGTTTCCACTAAAGTTTCGCTATTTGTTTTTGGCTAGAGTATAATTTCAATGAACCGTTTACACCCTGACATCAGTATGCATGTGTTCCATACCGTTCTCTAAACATTTCCAAAGGAACTGACAAGGAAATGTTTTTTTTTTAATCATCAAGAACTTCTTTAGTTAGTGATTATTTTCTCGACCTTAATGCGTGATTCCGCGGTGATATTGTAAGGAAAAATTAGATTTTTGTCACTCTTAGAAGTCAAACGGGACTGAAGGATGAGTATTACAAATAGAAAATACGTAAAGACCCTATATTTTCTTTTTTTCACACCCTGAAAAGTATATTTTCGTGATGAGTGATTTATCATCATATCTGATATCTGCCTTTCGTGATTGCGGTGTACAATTGAAGTTAAATAATGGCTTATTATCGAGAGACGTTGTTTGCTTTGGCAACTGAAACATTTAGAAAATATTGATAACTTGTTGTTTTTTTTTTTGTTTTGTTTAATTAATCGATATGATATTGTAGATATGATGTCGTAGAAGTCAAAATTAGTCTGATAACGTAATCTAAATTTTTTATGGAAAAAATATTTTGAAGAAACACTCAGAGGTTATTGCACGTTTGGTCAAATAACAGCTCCGCATAACTGGTTACCAATCCGAAGAGTGACCAGAATCTAATTTTTCCCTACAGTTCTACCGCTGAATCGTTCATTAAGATTATATACATAAAGGAAATGATCGCCGAACTTAAGAAGATATGTTTGTTAAACGAATCCTCCTTGTCAGTAAAGGAAATCAGTGTATGGACAAGAGTATGGAGGAATAAGAATACTAATGTTAAGGTTTAAAACCAGTAAAAGATTCACCGTTTTGGAAAGCCTGGTATAGATGCATGACGATAAAACTTTGTTAACCTGATAACCTCTTGGTGGGATCAAAGGTGTAAATGTTTTTTTCCCCAGAAAATATGAAGCATATCCGAAGACGCCCGAAAAAGAGTCGAGAACGTATTGATGGATACCGAAGACGCCTTGAATAGTTTTCCTAATTTTGGTTGTTGTTAAAAATAGGGAACACTGCGAAGTTCGCCTTATGGTTAAAAAGTTTTGTATTTCGTCCTCAGAATTAAGACGAGTAAAACTATTTTTCAGGCCGTGAAAATGCACACAATTCTGGATTGCAAATGCCATGGCGTATCTGGATCGTGTCAAGTGAAAACTTGCTGGAAGACCATGGCTCCATTCAGTGTGGTGGGCAGTTATCTTAGAGAAAGATACCAGAATGGCATCCTGGTTACTGTTGATCAAAGTGGAAATGAACTAGTCGTGGCAGAAGGTACTTATCCTGCTAAGCCCCCACGTGATAACCTCGTGTTCTTAGAGGAGTCCCCGGATTATTGTGTCCCAAACTCCAATACAGGCTCGCTGGGCACCACGGGAAGAGTGTGCAACAAGACCTCGCCGGGCCATGGAAGCTGTGGGGTTCTGTGCTGCGGGCGCGGATTTAACACGATTCAAGTCGAGGAGGAGTACAAATGCGCTTGCAAGTTTAATTGGTGTTGTTACGTGAAGTGCAATATTTGCAGGAGAACTGTTGACAAGCATGTGTGTAAATCGCCCGAGGAAGATTCTTCACAGTACAACAGCTCTGGCCGTAAAGTGTCGGCGTTGGCAAACTCAGAGAGCAGGAATCAAAACAGGCCAAAGAATCAGTCCAGGAAAAGAGCGGAGAGAAGGAAGGCCAGAAAGAACAAGAAAAGAGGAGCCTCAATCAACAGTCTCGACAGCGACCACAGAGATAACAAAAGCTTATGATAATTGCCTCGAGCCTTAGTAGACAGATGGCGCAGACTATATGCAGTAGTTTGATATTAGCTATCGGTCAATCAGTTCGGTAGGTTCATGCACGATTATGTTCTGCCAAGATAAACTCAAATCAGTTTTCTCTGTGTGGAATTAAGGAAGAGTAGAGAAACTATACTAACATTCGTGAATTACACAATCAAAGCTCCAAATCGAATGGCCAATAAAAACTAAATGAAAAAGAAATTTATATCAAAGAATAAAAGAAAATCCAGATTGGACCAATTAGTATTCCTTACATTCTAAGGAGTTGTATATAGAATATACGGTGTGTTCTCGTTGATACAAAATGACATCCAAACCACGGCTCTGAGTTTGCAAATCACATTTAATTAATTCTAGAGAGACTTCAATTGAGTATCCCAAGTAATTCCTATATTGTTTAGACTTGACTTTGGAAGAGTATGTGAACAGCAGACAAACATAAAACCTCGCGGTGACTGCTAGTCGCTGGTTTACAAGCGTCAGTTTCCCGCCCTCGTCGCTGTTCACGTGTATTTACGTCCAGTTATCACTGGTTCACTGTTGTCTTCAGCGATTTGATTGGTCGGTGTAATTGCTTACGTACGACACACAGTTGAACCTCTCTAATAGAAAACAAGTCGTGTTTCGACTTGACTTGATGACCTTTAAGCCTCTAAGACAAGTGTGGCTGTGATAAAGAAATTTTCAAGTAAAACAGAGAGAAAGAGAAATAGAGCACATCCACAAGCTACATCACCCTATTTGGACGGTAAATGCTTGATAGCAATTTGTATAATTTCGAAATCGGGACCGTAATAGTAAATAGTAAAGGTTGATTGTTATTTTTATTGTTATTATTATTATTATTTATGTAAATATTTATATTCCGACAAAGAGCTAGTACTTGTTAGTTTGCTTTTGCACAAGTGTTTTCAAGTACAACAGCGGTTATGTTTAGAATTGTATCGAGAATAAAGTTTATGGCGTCTAAATACCTATGGAACGAGTCGTATGATCTATGACTGATTTCTTCTGGAGAATGCTCGCTCTCGGCTAATGAAAACGAGGTTAGAAACGGGGTGAGAAGCGGGGGGAGGGGGGGAGGGGGTCAGAAATCGCCATCACATTTTTATTTGGCTTCCCTCGCTTCAGTCCTGAGTTTCTACAACTGGTCTGGTCTACATGTCGATGCATAGAGATTTTTTTGGTTTTTGGTTCTTCTGTGTGTTTTTTAATGTATTTCTTTTACCGAATAAATCACCGTAAATAGACCGAAAACCACACCGGATGCAAAGAAATACATGAGATAAAGCAACTCACCGCTGCACCCAAATTAAGCATCGGATTCGTGTAAACGTCTGGACAAGGTTGTTGATACATACATACATACATACATACATACATACATACATAGGTTAGTTGACCACTCTCCATTGGGGCTTTTCAGGGCCAATTCCCACCCATCCCAGCCAGGGGAGGACATCCACGACACAGTAATCTCGTGCGTGGGAAATTAACGTCTCCTACCCCTAACCCTGCTGGAGACGGGGCCTACGGTTTATTTGTCCTTATCCGAGAAGACTAGAATATCTATCCATTTCTTGATTATAGAAAGGTGGCAATGGGTGTTTGATTTAGTAATTAATGCCCCTGATGGTTGATCAGGGTCCAAATTTATATTTGCATTCACTTTAACAAATAACGACTCTCGGAGGGTGAAATATTATTTTTTTGGGAGGTCGCATGTTTTTCGGGAGAAAGGAGAGGCGGTTAGTCGTCACTAACAGTGTATAACCGGGGGAGGAGGGGCACTAAAGATAACTGACTGCCAGTGAGGGGAATCATTAAAATACTTCAATGCTTTGGAAGCAAATCAGTTAAAGTTTATTGTGAAACAAGCAACATCCTCCTTTCCTCTCCAGATGATTAACAATGAATGTTCCCTTGGCAAAAAATTGACAGAAAACTCCACTCCACCTATAGACGCCAGGCTCCTTAAACGCTCGTCCCGCATAAATAATGGTTTCCTCGGACTAAGCGAAAAAAAAAATATCAGCGAAAAAAAAATATCAGGGTGGTTTTTAATCGAGAAAATACACCGCGTTTCAAAATATTGCAGGCTCAAACATGCCTTCAAGGGTAACAACTACCTCGTAACCTCCATTGAGTGTTTTTTTTCTCTCTCTCATAAGATTCAGTGATGGAAGTTTGATCAGGTAAGTATCGAACTTGAAACAGGACTCATAAAGGCGGCCATGCGAATAGATTTGTGAAATGACAAAAAGACACTTACTCAGCTCGTAAGTGTTAGTACTTTCTATTTTAACCATCGCCAAATCCAAGAAGGAAGTGCTTAAAAAGGGCGTTTCTTTAATGCCTTAATTAAACAGCTGGAAAAGCTTTTAGATATATTTTACTACGTGGTGAGTGAAATAACTATGTTGTTAAACAATCAGGTTAGCTGTTATGGCACAGAACTCTCTCTCATAATGGCATTTGTAAGAAATAAGAATTTGGTGGAAGACAGTATCAGAGCTGTTTGAAGAAAGTCACCAGCCTTATCACGTGATTTTTCCAGCTGATTTGAATGTTTTGGGATATGAATAGGAAGGAAAAACTAATAGAGTGCATCAAACTTAGCAGAAGACAACAAGTAATCAAAACTTGTCCTTTACGTTCTTTAGTTTTTATAAGGTAAACCTGATAAATTCTAAAAAGCTTACTGATAGGGCTAACTCCAGTTACCAGAGTATTCGCTCTGACGATAGGCTAACGCTCGAAACGTCAGCTTTGACACTTTTTACGGTGGAATTGCAATGCACCAGCTGTTGCGGAGCTGAAATAAGGCTCCAAAGGCCGTTGAATACAAATAGATAGAACAATTATTCCATTCGCACTTGTTGGATATGAAATTGGTTAAAACCAACTTGGTGCTACGCGCCTCGATGGTTATTTACGATCTCATATCCAATGCACACTCATGGAATAATTGTGTATAAACCTCAGAACTTTGATTTAAATCCCAACCAAATACTTATTTTAAAATATCATGAAATTATAAACAAGTAGCTAATTACCTAGCAACAACGCTTTTCCAGAAGACATGTACTGTTTCTTTCACCATTTTCTCTAAAACCCTTGATCTCTTGGTCACCAAAACTGGCAGCAAGCAAGTTAACAACACAAACTCTGTTTTTTTTTATTGTTAAGCTGACGTATGTGCCGTTGCCATGGCGACATGAATAAATATAAACACGCCTTTAAAATCGGTTTTGTTCATTTGTAGAAAATCTAGTCATTAGTTTCTCTTTATAATTTGCATGCAACGAGCTTGTAACAATACTCACAAGTTAACACCATTTTGTTAACAATTTAACAGAGACATCTTTAAATATCCCTTGTTGAAGGTTCACTCGATTATCTAGAATTTCCTTTGTTAAAAATCAATTTTTTTCAATTCTCCAGTTACTTATTTCCTAATATAAAGAATTTTCGTGCCAAATTTCGTGAAATTTCAATGAGTGGTTCTCAAGAAATAAGTATATTTCCGAGGAAGCAATTTTCCATTCAATCGCAATTTTTTAACTTACCATGCATGCGCTGCATTTAACTGGGTTCTCTCGGTAACGACGAAAAAGCTGAGAATTGCTGGGTTCTTTGCACCGCTGACTTTTCTAACATGTCTTTGTAATAAGGTTGATCACATTTGCATCGTATGTGGTCTCTTGATTAAATAGGCCTTCAAAACAATTAAATATTATAGATACAGGAATAGATTGGCTTACACAACAAGCAAATCTCAATCCAACCGCTGATCAAAGACGGAAGCGATTGACAGCTTCTAAGTGCGTGTAACGTGTTCCTCCCCTCGCGCGCGATTGACCATTTTTTTGTCTTGCTTCTGAAAAATGCAAAGAATTATATGCCTCTTTTGCAAAGTCGCATTTGCAAAGCCCTTGTTTCCGCTCTACGTGCCACTGGGCTTAATGGGCACTGACTCCCGCCAGAGGGACTTCTAGAAGCAGTGTGTTATGCCTGAACGAATTGACGCGACACATGAATATTGTGGTCGTTGTAGTGACGAATTTTAGATGTTCAATTAAGTGACCACACGCGGAGCCCGACAAAATTTTTTTAGTTCTTAGCAGAAAGGCTGGAGATACCGTTTGAATATGACGTTAGTACCCGTGGCTTGTCTTTTTACTGTTGCCTTCCTTTCGTTTCCAGTTCTTTCGACATCTCATTGGTGGTGAGTTTTCTTTCAAAACACCCGTCTAATCGACAAGAAGATGAAATGAATCGGATTACTTTGCACTTAAGTGCGGCAGCAATGAAATCATTCAACTGTTTTACCGTTCAGATCAGATAGCGAACCGTACGAAGAGAGTCGCATTAACGCGTTTGTTTGTTTTTGATGATAGGTTTATGTCTCAAGTGTTTTCTTTGGGTGCGAAAATCATGTGTAATCTGGATATGTCGGGCTCGTATCTACTCAGTTATCATCAGAAGCTATGTCACGAGAATCCTGATGTGATAATTAACATCGGGAAAGGCGCAAAGCTTGGTATAGAAGAATGCCAACAGCAGATGGAGAACGAAAGATGGAATTGTTCTACGGTAGAACAGGACACTAGCGTGTTCGGAAAGGTCATGCAAAAAGGTTAGTGAACTAATTTCTTGAAAATACTTGTGTGTGTTCATTTAATTAGTCTTAACGAGAATAGTGGTGTTAACATTATAGAATAGCAGTGTTAAGTGCACTTTATAATCAAACATGATTATCATAGTATCAAGATCTTTCAGATGTTTACTACTGTCTCATTTGTAAACATATCATGGGCTCCTTCAATTAAGGAAAAAACCTTATATATAATTTCTTAAATCTCTCAGAATTACACCCAGCCTCGATCGATAGAATTATTTTCTCGTTCCTCTGAGATGAACTGACAATATTGAATATTAATTCCCACTTTTTTAATGGAAGTTTATCATTGATATTGACAGCAAGCCAAGAGAAGGCTTTTGTCCACGCCATAACTTCAGCCTCAGTTGTGCACCAAATAACTCGAGCTTGTCGTCGCGGAGAACTGAGAAATTGTTCTTGCGACGAGAAAATTGACGGTCGAAGTGACGGGGAATTCAATTGGGGAGGATGCAGTGACAACATTGCTTATGGTCTGAGGACTGCAAAGCTGTTTGTGGACTCCTTCGAAAAAGAGACGGATGCGAAGGCAATGATGAATTTGCACAACAACTTGGTTGGACGTAGGGTAAGCCAAACTGTTCAAGTGTGCTGTTTTTAAAGAGTTTCCTTGTTGTTATTAATGTAGTTTTCAAGTGCTGTACGAGTGGTAGTTTTTAAAAATCGTAAGTGACCAGGTCACGTTTACTTTATTTTTACATTTGATTGGTTGAAAGACAATCGCGAATCTTCTCAATCTATCGCAGAGCGAGGTGAAGCAAAGCTAGTACTGTCCCAAATGGCTTTCGAAACTTGATTAAAACTTTCTCTCTCCTACGAATTACATCTTAGAAGAGGATTCCGTCTCTAAGCTTGATCAACTCTTGACTGAGTTTGTCTTCAGTCCAAATCCTTACTAAAACTCTGTAGTTCACGAGCGCGTTCACAAAGGAAAACTGGGTTTCTCTCAAGTGCTAGTGTTAAGAAGATATTAGCTCCAACAAGCTACTCTAAAATTCGAGATGAAATAAAGTTTATGATGATGATGATGATGATGATGACTGAGCTCTAATGTCAGTTTATCGTCCAGTGTAGGCAGTCGTTTGGTTTTTACATTCAGCTGATTTGTGACGGCTCATTACGTAAGTTTTGAGTCGAATTTCAAAGGAAACCGTTGGAAACCGGTCAGTAGTTATCGCCCGGGAAAGGAGGAGGGAGAGATTTCCTGATGATTTTGATCGTGTCACGTTAAAATTTACCTTATCTCTCTTTTAGGCTATGCGATATTCTTATAATCCCGTCCCCATTCCCCCTGAAATCCTCCACCCCTTCCCCACCCTCCCCATGATAAATAATGACTGGTTCCCTAATCTTATTTCATACAGGCTGTAAAGCGCCACATGATAACTAAGTGCAAATGTCATGGTATCTCCGAATCTTGTGAATACATGACATGCTGGAGAACGATGGCTCCGTTTCACAAAGTGGGAAACTTTCTTAAACAAAAACATCAGCATGCGTTTATCGTAACTGTTGATCAGAAGAGTAAACAGCTCCTATGGGCCAAAGGTAACTTTCAACAGAAACCGTCACGTGACGATCTCGTGTTTTTGGAGAAGTTCCCGGATTATTGCGTTCGTAATCCAGGCACCGGCTCACTTGGCACCACGGGAAGAAGTTGTAACCAGAACGTGCCAGAGGATCACGGGAGCTGTGATATTCTGTGCTGTGGGCGTGGGTATAACACGATTCAAGTCGTAGAGGAATACAAATGCGATTGCACTGTTCAGTGGTGTTGCCAAGTAAACTGCAAGACCTGCAGAAGAATCGTTGACAGGCACATGTGTAAATCGCCTGAAGATAATAACTTTTTGAAAGATATCGCGCACAATTAGCTTGTTATAAGAAACGATTAATGCAATAATGTACTTCAACACCGAAGTGTTTAAATTAGTCAGAATCAAACCAAACCGTCGTAGTTCAATTTTTATATAAAACTCGTTCAGATAGAAGAAAACGTCCAGTAGAATGAGGAAACAAAACATTCCGTAAAAATGAACGTGAGTGTATATAAAAGGAAACAAACATGTTTATTGATGCATACGAAGAACATTTAAAAGCTAATTTCGATTGTGTGTCGTCAAACCAAAACCATGGTATTTAAAATGGCCAATCAACACAAAGGAGAACTTTGCAAGGGGCCAATGAGAACTGCCGTCTGAAGCGCGGGAAAACGCAGGTGACCAAGGGGCGACTGGTTTTTGATTCGGTTTCTGATTGGTTTGGAAAGAGGCGCGAGTTTTCTGAACCAATCACAAAGCGAAGTACAGCAAAATCGAAGCAGTCCCGGCTTACCGTTCGATACACAATTGAAAGTTAATCTAAATGAAAATTGTATAGAACAAAGTCAAGTCACAGGTTCGTTTAAGAAACCAGAGAGTCATACTCTGCAAACTAGATTTTTTGTTGTTCTTTCTGAGTTTAAAAGGTCAGGACTCTTGGATTAAAAACAATACGCCCTTCACCTCGCCCTGTTTTATGAATCACGAAGAACTGGTAGTGAATAAGCTTTGAATCTGATTGTTTTCTGATCGGTTTAGAAAAAGGCGCGAGTTTTTGAACCAATTCCACAGCGAAAAACGGCAAAATCGAAGCGATCTCGATTTATTTTTAATACCAAAATGAAAATGAAACTGGGCGGGAATTGTAAATAACATAGTTAATTTTCAGGTTCGTTTTAGAGACCAGAAAGTTATAATCTAAAATTCAAATCATTTATCGCTCTGAGTCTGAGTTTAAAACTTGAAGAGCTCCTTAATCAAAACAACAGGTCCTTCATTACCTCTGTTATTTGAATCGTGAAGAACTGATAGTGATATGGAAAAATTAAACATTGAGTACACCATTTGTCTATGTTTGTCTGGAATCATTTTGCCATGTCTGCTCGGCCATTGTCTTCAACGGAAGAGGCTCTAGAAGATTTGAATCTTAAAATTTAAAAAATTAATAAGAAGTAGGCACGACGAGCATATGTTTCGCACCTTTCGTGATCATCTGCATGATAACAGACTTGTTAATTTATTTGGAGGCAGTAATGTTCGTGCAATTAGTGTCAGATTTTGAGTTATTACTGACTTAAATTAGGAATGGCAGCAGCTTCGATTATCATAATTCGTCTTGAATGTCGTAATTATTTAACCTCTTTGTGTAACCTTCCTCGATGGAATTCTAAAAGTGGAAAACAACAGGGAATAAAGACAAAATACACAAGCTTCTAGAAGGTCAATTATTTTGTTTACAAATTTGATTTAGAAGAAGCTCATGGAATGCTACAGAAAACAGTGAAAATTTTGAGAAATTGTGTGGTTAAGGATTTAGCTAAAAGTTGCGACTACTACTAATTAATCGTAATTATTAAGTTTAATGTTTGATCGGAAACGCCAGTTTTAATAGTTCCATCGATGGACCACACTTGGTCATTAGCAACCGTAGCTGTGATCATGACAGAATGATATTGGATATTCGGAGACGACAAAGATATGTTAAAAATTCAAGGCTCTTAAGTTTAAAAAGCACCTCTTTCAAATGAGATTTTTGTAACCGATTATTTACTCCCTAAGAAATAAAAGGCAATCCTGATTTCCGTCTGTGATCGCTTTTTCTTCTGCGTGAATACAACACCTTGAACATCAATGGACGCACTTCGATTGGAAATAAGCCCAGTTTTAACACAAAATTACGAGTTCAAGAAGCAACAATTACCAGATCAATCAGTCGCTTTAAACAATGTCCTCTGGCCAATTCTTATCACACTGATCATTTCTCTCATTTTTCCACAACCACTTAAGAACACTTAATATTTAAGTGTTAGCTGGTTCGAATGAAACTGTGTCGCTGGGAAAACAAGGAAAGCGACGGAAATGAAAAGTCACAAACTACTTCTTACATAATACAAATCATTGTTGTCTGCTCAGTAAAAATAACCTTTCGAAAAATACCACACTATGAATAATCACACAATCGATTTTAGGGCGGCTTTCATAATAAGAGCTTATACACACCACTTCAGAGAAAGAAAAGAATGTCATTTTCTTAGAAAAGGAATGATAAATTGTACTTTGAAGGAATGTCTCGGTACTTAGCCCTAATGTAGAGTCGATATCATTTACCTAGACGCTATTACAGCTATTAACATTTTTTAGGAAGCAAAATCATCACAGTACCATTTCCGAGGGGAAGAAAATCCAACCGCCCGCTGAAATGAAAGGTTAAGGCAGTGCGTCCAAGAACACTAGACACATCGCTGAGGAGTTATCCTTGATATACATCAGTGGTTTGACACCGTTGACGTGTGTTGTTTCTATATTTAGTGATATTCGTTCGTCGCAGATCGCAGCGTTTAGAGCAGAAGTGTCTGGTGGGCAAACGAACAGAAACAGTGCAAAGAAGAGCCACTATGGGGAGAATCTTGACGATTTTGGTTTTCAATCTTCTTCTGGGTTTCTTCCCAATGCGGACAGCGTCACGTTGGTGGTATAATATATATATTTTTATTTTTCTTTGGTCCTCCTTCAGCTACATTAATCATTTTGACTTTTTCCTGCGCAGACTGAGACTCCCAGATATAAACATAAAATATCGGCTTTAACAGGGTTCCAGTTGTGGTCAAAACATTGATCTTCAGATTGTTTATGTGTTTGTTATTTCAATAAAGGTTTATGTCACAAGTGTTTCAACTTGGTTCCAAAGCCATCTGTAACCATGCAGCTGGTCTGCCTAACTTTGAACTATGCCGAAAGAACCCAGATGTTATGAAAAGCATTGGAAAAGGCGCGAAGCTAGGAATTGAAGAGTGCCAACGACAGATGAGGGACGAACGGTGGAATTGCTTCACGGTGCCTCAGGATTTTAGTGTGTTTGGAAAAGTCTTGAAGATAGGTATATATATTTATGTAAAATCAACACATTCATAATTGACTAAGAGAGAACTGATACACTACATGTAGACAATTTTTCGTGCGAGAGAGAAACACACAGAGATCGAGCATGAAACTTTTTGAGTTAAACAGTTAAATGTTTGTCAGTTAACGTTTAGAAAACCAAAGAAAAACTAGATCAAAGTAACTTGATTCGAGAGCTCTTCAGCTGGGAATCATGGCTCAAATAGGTTTGTTCTGCGATCTCTGATAATAAGAGTTTCAAACAAGACTATCGAAAGCTGAATATTTTTCCGGCTTAATACTGTTATGTTATCAACATATGTGTACTGTTTCACGTTTGCTATTGATACTGAATTCCTTAGTACATCATATATCTGCTCGTCAACGATAAGAGAAAAATTAGCGACACCTTATTATTAAAGCCCCATGCTTTGAAGGTCGAAACGAGCAATTTATGATTGTAACCTCATCACCAACATTGGCTTCTGTGAAATTCAAATACATATCATAAATAATACAACGGAAGAGAAAAGTATTTACAAAAAATGCATTATTTACTGTAGGATTAGAAAGTTGCTGACCTTCGTAAGACCTTCACGGTTGAACTCTCGGCTTCTTCAAAAAACCTTTCCAAAACATAGATAACTAGATAAATGAATGACACAAACGATAACAAACGGAAAGGTCCTCTGATAAATGTCTGCCAGCAGGCCCCCCCTCCAAAACTCAATTTTTCTCCCTCCATAATGATGTTTCAGATTCTCTCTGTGATATACTTTCTTCCTTTTTGCAGCAAGCCGGGAAACTGCCTTCGTGTATGCGATTACCTCAGCTGGAGTTGTACACGAAGTGGCTAAAGCGTGCATCCGCGGTGACCTGAAAAATTGTTTCTGCAACAAAACAGAACTAAGAAGCGCACGAGCGGATTTTAAGTGGTCTGGATGTTACGACCACATTGCTCATGGCATCGAAGTTGCCAAGTTTTTTGTGGATTCTGATGAACGGCAAAACGATGCTCGGGCAAAAATGAATCTTCACAACAATCTGGTCGGAAGAACGGTGAGTCTTGAAATAATGAATAAATAAGCGTCTCTGTGTTTTCAAGCTTTTTTCTATTTTCTCACAAATTAATCTTGGGAAAGATTTGGAATTGATGTTTTCGTGCTCTATGCATTGGCTTTGTGTCTGGCTGAGGTTTTTCGGCTCTCGGTAATCTTAACCTTGCCGTGAAATTATTTTGTGGCTTACACAGAGCATAATCCTTAATTAGTGGGCAGAAACAAAATAACGGGGTGTGACTTGGTAAATAAAGGAGCGATAACACGAGATAAATTATCGATTTAAAAGTGTCGACGGTAATTCGCAATTATGATAGCTATAGTCATTACACGTCGCTATGTGATTCGTCCAGAAAACTCATCCCGCTCTCTCGACCAATCAGATTTATAACTGAAACCAATCATGGCTCGGTCACGTGTGTTTTCCCACGCTTCAGACAGTTGCTTGCTTGTTTTTCTTTGAGTTAGTGGCTTTTTGTGGTATATTTTCTTTAATGGTTCTAGGTATGATTGTGATAACTTCGGTATTAACTTTACGACACTATCGACAAGCGCTCCTCTTTTTTTCTGATATCTGTGTTGATCGTCTACGCCAGCAGACGATGATTTCCAAATTTCATTTTATTTTATAACGGTAATTCTCCGTTATGCAAACAATGTCTCACATTTTCATCATATGGATAGCTGAAAATTAACTTCTTCCTCTTGAGTAGAGGCATTTTTTAAGAGTTAAAATGCAATTTTTTGCAGGTCGTAAAAAATCGCACAGCCGTGAACTGTTTGTGCCATGGTCCTTCTGTATCATGTGTTATGCAGACCTGCTACAGAAGTTTGGCTCCGTTCAGCGCTGTGAGTCGCCATCTTCGCGAAAAATATGACAAAAGCGTTCTTGTGACTATTGATCAAAAAGGGGAAAAATTGGTGGTGGCAAACCAGAAGGCTAAGAACGAGTCCTCACGTGAAAGCCTCGTGTTCTTACAGAAGTCCCCGGATTACTGCGTCCCAAACCCTGACTTAAACTTGCCAGGAACCACGGGAAGGGTGTGTTATAATGGGAACACGACCACAGCTGCCGGTAACGGGACATGTGGAACTTTGTGCTGCGGGCGCGGGTTTAACGCGATTCGAGTCAAGGAAGAATACAAGTGCAATTGTAGTTTTGTCTGGTGTTGTGATGTGAAGTGTAGCACGTGTAAAGGAACTGTTGAGAAAAACGTTTGTAAATCGCTCAAGGAGTATATTTCTGAAGGAAACGGTAAGATTAAGAAAGACGCAGAAACGGCAATGATTAAACAATCGCGTAAAGAGAAGAACAAAAACCAAAGTGCTTTGAGACGCTCTGACAACGACAATCGTGAACTGAAGACGATCAAAGGTTAATTCCTCCCACTGAACGGATAAGACAAATAGATGACAGTAATGAAGTTAGTGAAAAAGCCAAATAGATAGAAAATTACACACAGCTACAAAATAAGCGACTTTGAGCAAGTGCCAAGCTTTAAGGTCATGGTGTCATCGAAAACAGTAATTGTGCTGCGCTATTCAGTAGAGACTTTGAGGAAAAGAATTTGGCAGAAGAAGCTTGAAATTTTACCCTCCATTCTGTTAGGCATTGTGACTAAACACAGTTTTCCTTATATACCTATGTTTAAACTTGTTTTCGTGGCCTTTTACATGAAGAAATAATCGTGAACTCATTGAAAAGCTTTTAAAGCTTAAGAGATTAAAATAATCACCTCTTTTTCATCAAATTACAACAAAAAAATGTTGAATTCAACGTTCTTGGCACCAAGGTTAATTAACCTATACCCAGTCAGTACATTTGACGGAATAAATCTTTCACGATTTTTCAATGCACTTCAATCTTGATAAAGCCATTGCTAGAATAAAAACGGCAGAAAAATAAGCTCCTCAACCCCCACCCCCACGTCTAAGGATTCGTCCATTAGCAACCAAAAATAATATTCGGGGAATTCGAAAAGCAGACTGTGCTTCTCGTCAAACGGCTCAATTTTTTTAAATCAGTTCTTAGAAACTTTTGTTGATTTAGTTAAGAGAAAAAATGACACAGCTAATTAAAAAACGTAATTAATTTTTATTCTTCTCATGTATTAAGTTTCTCTAGTACAACTCGGTTGAATGTCCACTTCCTACAAGCTAAGCCCCAATCCCCTCCCTTGTTAAGAGGTTGTAGTATTTGTTTAAAAGGCAAAAATGGCACTGTTTGGTTTCCGATTTCCGCAAAGAGCCGACCAATCTGTTTGCTCGAGTGGATGATAAACAACGAACGTTTCTAAGAATCATGACGGGAAGGATGTGTCTAGTGTCGTAATAAATGCCACAAATAATTCAACTACCTGGTGAAGACGAGCTGGTTGCGTTCACATACCAAGTTCATGTTTAGAACCTTCGGATGATGTCAAATTTAGATTCGGTAACTGCTGGATTTTCAGCAATCTACGATGAAGACGGCCTTCCTTCGAGTAACATATTCAAACTGTTCCTAAGACTTACATGATGAGACCTTACGGCCTGCTCAGTCTCTGATAGCTCCTGAAAGTTACGACGAGAGCCTTTGCATGAAAGACGAGCAGTTATCTAGCAGTGAGGATGAGGAGTTAGCCGGTGCTAGCTTACCTAAGGGGCCTGATCCCCTAAGGGGCTTGATCCCCTAAGGGGCCTGATCCCCTAAGGGGCTTGATTCCCTAAGGGGCTTGATCCCCTAAGGGGCTTGATCCCCGATACGACTTCGATTTTAGCGATGCCAAAGAAAGCGGTAAGAAACACATGAGCCGGAGGAGGGCATCAATATCACCGACAGTACGGCTGGAAAAGAATAGCGATCAAAGTTCGTGGGAGATACAGAAGACCGGGCGACGAATGGCTCGGTCCAAACGGCATACACACCGCAGAAGTTCCAAACCAATGGGCGGTTTCGTATCACGGCACGCAGGCTTCCAACGTCCGCAAGATATTCAAAGAAGGCCTTAAACCTGGTTCCAGAGCAAAGTTTGGTCCAGGTGTCTACAGCAGCCCTAGTCTGGAAATGGTTGAAAGGTGTTATTTAAAGCAATTCAAGCTTAAGGGAAAAAACTACAAAATTGCCTTTCAGAATCGTGTCAATCCTAAGCGCGTCGAAATCATCTCTGTTTCAGAAACAAAAGCTGGAGCGGAATTCTGGCTCACAGAGAAAGACGACATTCGTCCCTATGGTGTACTTAGTTAAAGAAATTAAAGAAGATAAATGTAAGCTTTTTAAAACTATTCCAGAGCTCACAAGATGTATTTTATATCGTCACTCTCAGGCAAGTTTATTGAATCGTGTTTGTTGGTAGCCTGAGCTAATTATTAAACTGACTTTAAATTACTTCAAAACGATCCAGAGACTGGCACTACTTTTCGCAACCTCCACTCACTTCATTCAAACACGACAAAGACATAGGCATTTTTTTGGTCAGAAGTTCATTACAAACTAATGACCAGCCCGGCACTTTTAAATGCGCTCGCGCACGATGCGAAACTTGTCCTTTCATTCACAACGCTTAAAAAATATCGGGACCCAAACGACCATTAACATCACTGATCACTTCACGTGCACCTCAGCCAACGTCATCTATTGCATAACTTCCACTTGTTGCATAACTTGCACTTATTGCAAAAAGATATACATCGGCGGAACAGGAAGACGACTAGGTGACCGATTCCGAGAACACCTTCGCGACGTAGAAAGGCATGACAAGGACGCATCAGAACCAGTCGCTAGACACTTTAATCTACCTAATCACTCTAAGTAACATATGGCAATCTGCGGTCTTTCCTTACATTTAGATAGCTCGGAAAGCCGTAAAACTCTCGAACAAAAGTTTATCTTTCATT